CGAATCAAACAACAACGATAGCCGCATCCAATCTACGGGAGCCGACAGTCGAGCAATCGTCTTCCTCCCCATGAAACCTAACAACCATATGATCGAGCTGCGAAACACCCTCTACGACGACAGGTTTGGCATCATAATCGAGTTCTTTAAGAACTGCATCCTTCATCCTGCTCTCACACTCGTCAACCCCAAAGTCCCAATAAAATATGTTCAACAATACTGGCAAACTTGTGAGTTTCACCCAGCCAGTCATGGGATAATGGGCGACATCGACGCACCAAACGATATGATTTGCTYGGTAAAAATTTCACGAGCAAAAATATCTAAGGTGATGTGCATTCCGACAAGACGAGAATTCAAGATCGAACAATATGACGAACCACCTTCCTCCGAGGACATTCTAAGGTTTGTAAAGATGCTAGGGTACAACCGGGAAATAAGAAACATCTCAAATTTCAAAAGACAATTCCTCCCACCAATGTGGAATTTGTTCTTTTCCATCATCAACCGCTCTCTCACATGCAAGTTGGGCTCCCTCGATCAAGGAAATCTCAACATAATGACAATTATGTATGGGCTTTTCTTCAACCTCAACCTCAACTACGCCCTCCTCATCTACACCGGGATCCACGCGGCCATGCTCAAGAAGTGTAAACTTCAAGCCGCAGGAAAGCCACTGTCTGCTGTCCTCTTCCCCCGCTTCCTTGCTCTCATCATTGGGGATGCAATGAGGCAACACGGTCTACCTACCATAGAGCCATACACCCCGGTTTACAAGATGCAAGGACATCGCCCAACGCTATCGTAGGAAGGATACACAACAAACCGTCCGTTGTCCCGGGCTATGCTCACTGTCATTCCATCGACAAGTGAGATACGCCAAGCCTATGAACGCTCCATGTTGTCCCAAGCACCGAGGGCAGCTACCCCGGAGCACTTAGAGCCGTCCCCCCCTCCAAGCAAGGGAGCACAAGCATCGTCTTCATCGGATGATGAAGATGATGATGATGATGATGATGATGATGCTAGTGCTTCCCCCGGACCTCACCAACATATTTCCCAACCCACTACCCAAAGGGGTATTGAAACAGGACGACCCAGTCCCACCCAAACCCAAGCCAGCCATCCAGAGGCCATTCTTCGGGCCTCTGGAGATGAACAAGCCGAGGAAGCACATATACCATCACCCCTCTCAACAGAGAGGTGATGAAGAGATAAGAGCCCCTTCGCCTCAGGGCTCGCCACTACCCCACACGCACACAGAAGCATTTGTTGCTTCTGACATTGATCCCATAGATCGTTCAGAGCGATCTTCAATTCGTGC